AACAGGCTTTAGAAAATTTTACATACCTTTGTGAGCTGCCCACAGCATTCGTACACCACAGCCCCGAGAGCCAATAGTATCTCTGATCGAGTCCAGGGCTGACATCTCTGTAGGGCTGATATGAGGTACTCTGTTACTAAATGCAGTGTCTTCTCTGTAAGTGTCAGCTGCGACAAACAATTCAAATCCGTTACTTATTGCAGTGTCCTGTCTGTAAGTTTCAGCTGAGACATATTGATCTCATCTTTCTTACGTGTATGGTGAATATATATATCGTAAAAGGTTTTAATTTCATTACGTTGTCTTTTCCGCATTGTGGCATCTGAATTCATGACGTCATGTCATTGTTATGTCATGTCTTGTGAAATGAGGTCTAAGATCGAAATTTCTGGACAGCTCTACAAAAAATTCAAATGTGTTATCTTTCTTACGTGTATGGTAAATAAATATATCGTAAAAGGTTTTAATTTCATTACGTTGCCTTTTCCGCATTCAGAATTCGTGACGTCATGTCATTGTTACGTCATGTCTTGTGAAATGGGGTGTAAGATCGAAATTTCTGGACAGCTCTATCTTACCCCCACGGAAATGAGAGAAATACATACAATGTATATATATATTTAGTATATCACATGATAATTTCTAGGATTGCTATTGGATAACTTCCCTTGTTCTATTTGGTATAGTTAGCATCCGCCCTTGACAACGGGAACTATACCTGGAGACGGGCACTATACCTTTTTTTTGGATCGCTGATCATGAGACTGCGGGAAAAGTAGCATGACACTAAGAGTTGCGCCCCCTCTTCTAGGGGGCGCTGTACACATTCTACTTTCACTTCATTGTTGTCGTCTGCCAAAATGGCTTCAAATTTCGGGGCCAGGAATGCCGATTGCTACGCAGAGGCTCAGCAATGCATAAAGACGAAGCAGGCGACACCATTTGACGTCCTTAAAGACTTCATACTGGAAAGGGGAACCGTATGTGACCTAGCGGTGATTCAGTCCAGTGAATTGAATACGCAACAAAAAAGGAGAGATCTACTCAAAAAATTATCTTATTGCCATTTGTTGTTAATTATTAAACATGCTACCTTTTATTGTCAAATGACAGTCATGTGAATGTGCTAAATCTATTATGACCCTTTCCCTCGGCTAACGGCTCGGGCACTATACCTCCCCAGACAACACTACAAGAGAACAGTTCCCTCGGGAAAGGGCCATAATAGAATAATATTGTATTCACTGATCAACTTTACCTGCTGTTTGGCTGTAAAGTTGAAGATGGCCTGACAAACTTTCACCAGAAATCTTTCTTCATACAATGGGACAACGGTACAAAACTTGGTTATAAGTCTGTTAGCTTCCTACAAAATAAATGTGAAGCGAAATATTTCTTTGACTGAATAAATACATAATAAATAGACCGTACAAATCATTTAATTTATATATAATAATTCCATTTTTGTCAATGAAATAATCACCTAGGCCTGCAGACAACAATGAAAATGACATCTTTCCATGATGATGAAGATATAAAACAAAAGAACAACAGAGGTAAAACCTTATGCAATGTACTCCTGTCCAAAATGGGCCAATGCAAGTGTAAGAGCAAAATCATCATGGCTAGATTTTGATCAGTTTTCACTTTTGAAAATTTGTTTTGGTTTTATTTGTGTTTTACATCCTATTAACAGCTATATGGTCATTTAAGGATGTGCCAGTTTTTGTGGCCGGAGTACCCAGAGAAAACCACCTACCTGCAGCCAGTACCTGGCGACTGCCCCACACAGGCCTCGTACCCACGACCCAGTTTGAACTTAGCCTTTGTCTTGGTTTATTAATTAAATAGTCATATTAATGGTTTGGAGACTGTAAAATCAATATCATTTGGTGGTTTTAAGACAATTCAACCTTATTTATGCTCATGAAAATGTCAAAAGCAAAATGTGATAACGATAAATCCAACACTTTATAGTCGAAAACATTTGTTCAAAGTTGATTCTAGTTACATGGCATAAATTTAACAATATTTTCAATAATAATTTCTATCTGTTGATCATCTGTTACCATCTTCAAATTAAAGATGCTGTATTGATAAAAGCATTAGTCAATGTTTTAGCTATTTCAATAAATTGATTATCACTCTAGTAGTAACCTTTTTATTTGCGTATATTTGAATTGTTTTTATCTGTTTTGGTGTTTTATGCCATCTACCTAAAATAACAGCTCAGCTATGCGGCAACAAAACAAAACATCCATTTATAGTTGTGACTCATTTCAAAATTATTATCAAACATACATCTTCTCTGACAATCCGCATATAATATTCCATAGAATTAATTTCGTCAAGCAGTAAATTGAAATTAGTTCTTGATGCTTCATCATCTCGCCGATAATTGAATCCATTCAATCGCTTAAAACACTGGAGAAATCGTTCTCGTTCGGCCAAAGAGCCGTCTGCGTCTTCCATGTTGCAATTTCGGCCTGGTGCTATCGGGACACCTTTGGTTCGAAAGACCTTTCAAAGTCATAAGTCTAGAAGATACACGAATGCTACTTTTGAGTAACGATTAATTGTAGAAGTACCATATATAAAATAACTACTAATTACCATAAAATTTACCTATGTTTTTTAATCGACAATTTATATTTTTATATTTGCTTATATTAATATATAATAATGATAATATTAAAAGATTGTTGTTATATTTCTATTTATCATAAAATTCGCATAATGAACACTCAATTCAATATGGCGGCGCCCATACGAATTCATGCGTTTTGTTGCCGGGTAAGCATCGCTAACCCCATAAAACAGTGTAAGCGCTATCTATCCTTCACTGTCCACAGAAATAGTCAGCCTAAGGATGATACGGAATCAAGACAGACGCATTTCGGTTACGAATCTATACCAGAACAGGATAAAGAAGAAAGAGGTTGGTTGCGTAACTGATGCAATGTTTGACATTCAACTGTCACTATTCTCCGAGAACTTTTAAAACCATTAGTTGAGACGTTCATGGAAATTGCTGTTTGTTGACTTTTTACATTACCACATCTGTGTTTTATTTACTTGCAAGCCATGACTTTAATGTTCTTTTTCCAATTTTACACTTTGAATATTTGAAATACAGTATTAATTTTAGTTTTTTAATCTACCAAAATTTTAGAGCAGGATAATTTTGATTAAATTTGGAAAAAAGCCTTAACTATTGCTTCATTTAGCATGGGAATAAGCAGCACTGGTGTTAATATAACATCAAAACAATGCAAAAGAAAACAATGAATGACTCCTTAACAGGAGAAAGAGAAATGCAACAGCCAGACTGGGGTTCGAACCCAGAACCAATTGATGGCATCTACCAAATCAGCTACCTGGTCGCCGATAATCAGTCCAGTTCTGCTATATTCCTCCCTCCTGGATCTGGACTCACAGGCAACCACATATATAGTTCATTTGGTTAGAGTGTCCAAGTCTCCATCCTCGATATCCAGGGGTATTAATGCTCACTTTCGCTCTCTGCACCCCTGGAATATGTCATAGCAAAATTGAAGGCACTTTGCAAGCTATTTGATTGGTCTCGGGTAAATAAAACCTGATCAATCACTAGGCTGATACATGTCCTTTGAAGATTACAAAGGAGGGACACCCGATTTTAAAGTCAGTAAGTTTTACTGTTACGCGACCGCGATATTCTTTTGATGTACATCAAAGGATCAAACAAGTCTTCTTGTCTCATGATCCACAAGTTGGCACACACTGAGCCTCCATATTTGCTATGATATATTCCAGAGGTGCACTAGTTGAGAGAACAAAACTGAGCGTATCAAGGATGCCAAGTTCCGGGATCGAATCCCAGTCTGGCCGTGCATTTTACCTGACCTGTTACAAACTCCTACCATATTTGACATTCTAAGATCAATGTGTACCTCAAGAAAAACAGGAAAAGATTTAACAAAACCAATTACATAATGTTACATGACCAATGTGAGAATTTTGCAACAGGTACATTGTATAAACCATCATCACAGTTTTATTAATATGTTTATTTACAGTTTGTACATGATATTGAAACATTGCGTAAATAGTTCGAACAACACCTGAAAGAATCACTTTGCTAATAAAGCACAGCTAAGAATACCGGAAACAGAATCTCTAAGCTAATTTATTTCGACAAAGAAACCGGAAACAGCTCTTTACATATGTCTGTAATCCCTGGAGTTACTCTAGCTCTGTTCTCCCAGGACCGCCAAAAGTGGTCTCCCCTGGGGAGAACCCCCAAAAATGGTCTCCCCTAATCACCCATTACTCACGAGTGTACCTCAGGCCAGCCCTGCAGCAGTGACAGCTGTGAGCTCCCACGAGTTAATATATACGTCCGCGCAATAAATGAGTGCTTTCTGATTCGTTAGAAAAACACAAGTGTGTGGTCTTACTTTTATCACATACCTTCCGTATTTGGCAGAGATCAATACAAAGATTTTATAAACTTTGATAGTGTTTGCAAATACCCGAAACTTTTCAGTTCGCCATGACAAGGGGATTCCCATACAATGTAGGTAAATACAACATTCTGTATTGCACATGTGCAATACAGAACGTTGTATTTCATGGTCTGAAAATTGCTAGTATTACTATAACAAGATTCAACAGGTATGTGATAAACTTATATAGTACACTTTGTGTAGTACATTTTGTTTAGTACACTTGAGATTCTAGCACTCTTTGTCTGAACAATTTGTCTAGTACATTTTGTTTAGAACACTTAAGATTCCGTCACACTTTGTCTATATTCATTGTCTAGTACACTTATCTAGCACACTTTCTATATACATTTTGTATAGTACATTTTGTTTGGTACATTTTGCTTAGTACACTTATATAATTCACTTTGTCTAGCACAGTTTGTCTAGTACACTTAAGATTCTAGCACTCTTTGTCTAATACATTTTGTCCAGTACACTTGTCTAGCATACTTTGTGTCAGCACACAATTTAAGCACACCCTTCATCTTTGCCAAATAAGGTTCAGCTAGGTGGTACACTTCACAATAAGGTGTGTAAATATGTTGAATATGATATTGATTTGTCAGTTTAACTTATTGGGATAATCCCAGTAGGTTAAACTGATTGGTGTCCTGGGAAGGTCATTTAAGGACGTCAAATATGGTGTTGAAAATTTATGTCACCTCTGTGTTCTAAAATATGTCCTCTGTATAGCTATATAGTGTTTGTTTCATTGTTGAGTAAATGTCAAACAAAATATATTTAACTCATTCACCCCTGAGATTTCATAATGAACTATTCCAACCTTTGAATTGGAAGAGATCAAATGTGTCTTCAGGGGTGAATGAGTAAACTAAGAAAAATCTTTTTTCCTGGCGTTGGTAAGTTTGACTATTTGTTTAAATTTGCAAATATTTAGATTATGAATCCTAATTTGTAGTATCGTTTCTTATCTTTTCAGTTTATGAAGTATTTAAAAAGGTTGCCGGCAGTTATGACCTGATGAACGACGCCATGAGTATGGGTGTCCACCGGGTTTGGAAGGATCGCTTTATAGATAGATTAGCGCCTAATCCGGGGACACAGCTACTGGACGTAGCGGGGGGCACAGGTACAGTGACAATGTAAATGCTGGTTAACCCTTTCACCCCTATGTAACTTTAGTAGGCTCTACCATGCATTGATATGGATGAGTTCATTATGGTCTACAGTGGTGAAAGGGTTAAGATATAAGGGTTAAGGCGTACATTGAAACGTTATGCCCACATGCATAAATATATCTTGCATCAATAGCAAGAAATTTTACAGTGTTTTCAACTTTCACATTTTTCCTCACATCAAATGAGGGCAAATTTATCATGAAAACAAATATTTATACACAGCATACTATTCATAAACTCTACATGTCAACGGGAATATTAAATCTAGGGGAATATGGAGTTGACTGGTAAGTGGCGAATATTTGACTGACCGTAATGTTTCATGGACTACATATATGGTAATACATTTCTTCATATAAGCTTTCACAGTAGTGATGCAGCAGTTATCAGTATACACCACTCAAAGACAAAGTAAAATATATCTACATGTATCTTAACACCCCACCTATAATAATGATAATACATAATAATAAAATAATGTTTTAAGATAAGAGTATAACATGACAGCCCATCGATGGTACATCACGGAACGTCATGGAATATTCGGAGTTATCGTTACTGGCTGAGATCATTGTATAACGTCACAAGTAACGATCAAAATGGAACCACATTTTTAGTACCTTAGGGGTAAGATTCTACATGAAAAATTGTCCTGAAGAAGCCCACATGTTCGGGCGAAACCGGTAGACATACAGTAAAGAAACCAACCTATCCTGAGCTTGTTGCGATTGAATATTGCCTTTAGTTTCCCGTTCCTCAATCGCCCTGCATACCCCTGGGTATCCAAGCAAGGGATTACGGAACCTACAGATCCTAGATTAGAAGTACGGCGTCGGCTCTACACCCCGATGATTTGTTTTACATGTATCATGATACAACGCTTAAAATACAATATATATATCTCACTACACGACTCACAATACAATACATTAGTCTCACAATACAATACATTAGTCTCACAATACAATACATATATCTAAGGTCAATTGATACATCAACACTCATTGTAAGAAATGTGGAACAAGTTTGTTTTTTAAAACAAATTTAGTGCAGCATATATGATTTTGATTTCTAGTTATTTGCTACACGGACAAGCATATCATTATAACAAGGTTAAAAAAGACTGAAATAATAATTAGGTGGTTGGGTGGTCGGGTGGTGCAGCAAGGCGAGCGGGGTTTGATTCCCCGATCGAATGTGAAAAGGTATGGGGTCACCTGCTTGACCACGTGGGTTTTTCTTCGGGTATTCCGGTTTCCTCCGACATGAAGACACCACCCCCCACCCACCTCCCCGGCGCTCTCTATCATCTGGGCCAACATATGTGATTAATATAAGTTGAAATAACTTCTTTCATAATTGTTGTAAAATAAATAAAGCTTATATTTACATTTACTGAAATAATGAAACATAAAGTTTTTCGATTTGCAGGGGTTTCGATATTTCAAACCAATTATCAATTATGATTTTAAATCGATTGCCTATCACTAACCAGCGGTATTATGTTAATGGCCAGCTTTCTTTTACAGGTGACATTGCTTTTAGATTCCTCAAATATACAAAATCGTTGGAAAGAAAACACGGAAATATAAATACGGAATCAAGCGACGATTCAGACTTTGATTTAACAAGGGACATTACCCCTCAGGCTTTTGGAATTCCTGATCATTATGCCGACGATCAAGTTCTGTCGAGTGCGGATTCCTCCTCGAGCTCTTCTGATGAGGAGGAGAGTTTGGAGCGTGCGTCACCAAAAACTCATGTAACTGTCTGTGATATTAACAAAGAAATGCTGGAGGTGGGAAAAGGGAGAGCTCGTGAAATGGGATTAGTAAAAGGTGAGAGGATTATCTCCCCTTTGTACAGGTATACAAATAAACCATTCAAACATTTTTCAAAGAAATACCTGTACAGAAGTCGACATTGTATACCGTAGTTGTTAATTCTTTTGACGGACATAATTTCGTGAGTTTCACAAATGCACAACAGTTTATGATTTCAAGTACAGTCAAACATCTATGTTTCAAACTTTACGGGACCATCAGGAAATATTTGAAACATCGAGACTTCAACTTCAGAATGTTGATCTTCTTAGAGATCCTGTATATGTACTGCATAAGACCGATTGTAATTGTTAAGTGACGGAACACAAGGCAATTAAGATATTCAATTTGAAATATATAAACATTGGATTTACTGTAATTAGAAAAATATGTTTTATGTCATTTATACACCGTAGCCTGCATGTTTAGTTTATGTTAAAATGACCCAGGAACATCTCAATGTTCTCGTACAGGTACATGTAGTTGTTTTACTTCGAATTATTAGTTATAATTTTCAATGTTTTCCTAACGATGGGCCATTGAATGTTGTTTGAAACAGAGAGAAATTTGATTCATACCGGATGGTACCATCGATAGATCTGGACATATATCAGTTTTGAAATCCAATGGCTTTATGCATGTTAACCAGCCAAAAATGTGAATCACAGAGTTGATCCTTGGCTATCGAAGATGATGTAAAAGATGATTTTTTCTAGTTATAGATACATTTAAGGACCTCAATATCATTCTTATCAAAAAATATTAATTTCTATATTTTCATTGGTGCCAGGTCTGTCATGGGTTCAAGGAAATGCTGAGAGTCTGTCATTCGGGGACAACCTCTTTGATGCCTATACAATTGCCTTTGGTATCAGAAACTGTACCCATGTAGACAAGGTAGGGATTTGATTTTATCATTTTTGATTTACAGAAATTTAGTCAGTAATGTTTTAAAAATCCAACAACCCAGGTGGAGAATAAAATGGTCTGAGGTGGGTGTTGAGGTGCTACTGTGCTGTAGCATTACAGTGAGGTGCTACTGTGCTGTAGCATTACAGTGAGGTGCTACTGTGCTGTAGCATTACAGTGAGGTGCTACTGTGCTGTAGCATTACAGTGAGGTGCTACTGTGCTGTAGCATTACAGTGAGGTGCTACTGTGCTGTAGCATTACAGTGAGGTGCTACTGTGCTGTAGCATTACAGTGAGGTGCTACTGTGCTGTAGCATTACAGTGAGGTGCTACTGTGCTGTAGCATTACAGTGAGGTGCTACTGTGCTGTAGCATTACAGTGAGGTGCTACTGTGCTGTAGCATTACAGTGAGGTGCTACTGTGCTGTAGCATTACAGTGAGGTGCTACTGTGCTGTAGCATTACAGTGAGGTGCTACTGTGCTGTAGCATTACAGTGAGGTGCTACTGTGCTGTAGCATTACAGTGAGGTGCTACTGTGCTGTAGCATTACAGTGAGGTGCTACTGTGCTGTAGCATTACAGTGAGGTGCTACTGTGCTGTAGCATTACAGTGAGGTGCTACTGTGCTGTAGCATTACAGTGAGGTGCTACTGTGCTGTAGCATTACAGTGAGGTGCTACTGTGCTGTAGCATTACAGTGAGGTGCTACTGTGCTGTAGCATTACAGTGAGGTGCTACTGTGCTGTAGCATTACAGTGAGGTGCTACTGTGCTGTAGCATTACAGTGAGGTGCTACTGTGCTGTAGCATTACAGTGAGGTGCTACTGTGCTGTAGCATTACAGTGAGGTGCTACTGTGCTGTAGCATTACAGTGAGGTGCTACTGTGCTGTAGCATTACAGTGAGGTGCTACTGTGCTGTAGCATTACAGTGAGGTGCTACTGTGCTGTAGCATTACAGTGAGGTGCTACTGTGCTGTAGCATTACAGTGAGGTGCTACTGTGCTGTAGCATTACAGTGAGGTGCTACTGTGCTGTAGCATTACAGTGAGGTGCTACTGTGCTGTAGCATTACAGTGAGGTGCTACTGTGCTGTAGCATTACAGTGAGGTGCTACTGTGCTGTAGCATTACAGTGAGGTGCTACTGTGCTGTAGCATTACAGTGAGGTGCTACTGTGCTGTAGCATTACAGTGAGGTGCTACTGTGCTGTAGCATTACAGTGAGGTGCTACTGTGCTGTAGCATTACAGTGAGGTGCTACTGTGCTGTAGCATTACAGTGAGGTGCTACTGTGCTGTAGCATTACAGTGAGGTGCTACTGTGCTGTAGCATTACAGTGAGGTGCTACTGTGCTGTAGCATTACAGTGAGGTGCTACTGTGCTGTAGCATTACAGTGAGGTGCTACTGTGCTGTAGCATTACAGTGAGGTGCTACTGTGCTGTAGCATTACAGTGAGGTGCTACTGTGCTGTAGCATTACAGTGAGGTGCTACTGTGCTGTAGCATTACAGTGAGGTGCTACTGTGCTGTAGCATTACAGTGAGGTGCTACTGTGCTGTAGCATTACAGTGAGGTGCTACTGTGCTGTAGCATTACAGTGAGGTGCTACTGTGCTGTAGCATTACAGTGAGGTGCTACTGTGCTGTAGCATTACAGTGAGGTGCTACTGTGCTGTAGCATTACAGTGAGGTGCTACTGTGCTGTAGCATTACAGTGAGGTGCTACTGTGCTGTAGCATTACAGTGAGGTGCTACTGTGCTGTAGCATTACAGTGAGGTGCTACTGTGCTGTAGCATTACAGTGAGGTGCTACTGTGCTGTAGCATTACAGTGAGGTGCTACTGTGCTGTAGCATTACAGTGAGGTGCTACTGTGCTGTAGCATTACAGTGAGGTGCTACTGTGCTGTAGCATTACAGTGAGGTGCTACTGTGCTGTAGCATTACAGTGAGGTGCTACTGTGCTGTAGCATTACAGTGAGGTGCTACTGTGCTGTAGCATTACAGTGAGGTGCTACTGTGCTGTAGCATTACAGTGAGGTGCTACTGTGCTGTAGCATTACAGTGAGGTGCTACTGTGCTGTAGCATTACAGTGAGGTGCTACTGTGCTGTAGCATTACAGTGAGGTGCTACTGTGCTGTAGCATTACAGTGAGGTGCTACTGTGCTGTAGCATTACAGTGAGGTGCTACTGTGCTGTAGCATTACAGTGAGGTGCTACTGTGCTGTAGCATTACAGTGAGGTGCTACTGTGCTGTAGCATTACAGTGAGGTGCTACTGTGCTGTAGCATTACAGTGAGGTGCTACTGTGCTGTAGCATTACAGTGAGGTGCTACTGTGCTGTAGCATTACAGTGAGGTGCTACTGTGCTGTAGCATTACAGTGAGGTGCTACTGTGCTGTAGCATTACAGTGAGGTGCTACTGTGCTGTAGCATTACAGTGAGGTGCTACTGTGCTGTAGCATTACAGTGAGGTGCTACTGTGCTGTAGCATTACAGTGAGGTGCTACTGTGCTGTAGCATTACAGTGAGGTGCTACTGTGCTGTAGCATTACAGTGAGGTGCTACTGTGCTGTAGCATTACAGTGAGGTGCTACTGTGCTGTAGCATTACAGTGAGGTGCTACTGTGCTGTAGCATTACAGTGAGGTGCTACTGTGCTGTAGCATTACAGTGAGGTGCTACTGTGCTGTAGCATTACAGTGAGATGCTACTGTGCTGTAGCGTTACAGTGAGATGCTACTGTGCTGTAGCGTTACAGTGAGGTGCTACTGTGCTGTAGCATTACAGTGAGGTGCTACCATGCTGTAGCATTACAGTGAGGTGCTACTGTGCTATAGCATTACAGTGAGATGCTACTGTGCTGTAGCATTACAGTGAGGTGCTACTGTGCTGCTGTAGCATTACAGTGAGGTGCTACCGTGCTATAGCATTACAGTGAGATGCTACTGTGCTGTAGCATTACAGTGAGGTGCTACTGTACTAAGTATAAGCATAGTAAAAATATTGAGAGAAAAAAAAATGCCTACCTACAATACCTAATTCTTTTCAAACAGAAACAGAAAACACACATTTTTCTTGGGAGGGATGGAGGGGGGCCTTATGTTACAAATGAGTAAAAAAAAAAGGTTAAACCTGTTAAATTATATAAAAAACGTAATGAAATATTTTCTTGACTACCCTACCCAAATGTAAAATTCTGAGTAGGGCTTAGAAAAATTAACGTTTTAATACTGGCCTGGTTCAAATTTCAGTTTCCAGCCCATTTTATTTTTCCTGTCCTGTTAAAACTATATGCCTAATCACTAATATGACCAATCTTGCCTAACACCGGGATACTCAAACATGGCTCTTAAATCAAATGTAATAGTAAAGGAGATTCTGATTGTTTAGCGAATCTGAACTTAATCGTTATCCTAAACCTTTGAACATATCGCTCTGTTTTTAAGAGTGTTCATTAAGATTTTCTTGAGTCCATGGTTGAAACATGATTTGGTACATGTACCTGTAGGCTACAATTTCCAGTGTTGTTACATATACATTTAGATGATATCCTTACTGAATTTTGAAATTTGTTTTGGTATATCATGATAATAGTCTGGCAAATTGAGTTTTACTGCAGACGCGGAGTGGAGCCAATAAAATGGTTATTTGTGACAATACAATCATGCCGTATAATAATTACTGCAACAAATCTCAAAACACAATATAGTTATCACCATTTTCAGTCATATAAGCTAAAACCACCAAAAGAAATGACGATTTAAAGATATTTTTGAACATTTTCTTCAAAAATTTGGCTACTCTACTGTGGATTGGTGAAGTCAGGAATATTCAAAGTGAGGCAGAATTACATTGACCTTTTGGGGTCACGCTGGTGTTTGTGACGTCATGAATAATCAATTCCATGACATGAAGTCATTGATAATCACCACCCAGGCTTCATATGCAAATGAGATATTAAGAATGGAATACAGTGTTTTATCATTGCAAATTATTTCGATTGACCAATCAAATGCGGTGTTACATCTCAGTACTGATTAACCGACAGGTGGTGGAAGAGGCGTATCGAGTATTAAAACCGGGAGGACGGTTTATGTGTCTGGAGTTTAGTCAGGTGACCAATCCGCTACTACGCAGGTAGGTTGTCTGTTGTAGTCATTACATGTCAACTCATTCACCCCTAAAATTTCATAATGAACTATTCCAACCTTTGAATGGGAAGAGTTCAAATTTGTCTACGGGGTTGAATGAGTTAACCGTGGAATCGAGTCAAGTGAAACTAGAAGATTACTGAAAAAGTATCTATTTTGAGAGTCCCTTAAGAAATATCTTTCATAATCTAATTCATAACTCTGGAAAAGAAATCTGAAATCAGTGTATCTTAATCTTCAACTAGGTTCATTTGAGTGTAATGAAAAACAGCATTCATGTATATGAGATTATCTCCCTTCCTACTTCCATAGGGATGAGTTTGTCCTTTTCTTCATATAAAATACACATATCCTAAACGAGTTATTTCTTTCGTAACATTTTGAGAAAAAATATGATGCCATACCCTCGATTGATATAGAAAACGTTGCATTGTTTAGCGAAGCTATCACTTAACTGTAGGAAACAAACTGTGACTATATAAATCTGCCTAGAGAATTTAAAAAACAAAACAATTATCTTTTTCTTCATAGCCTGAAGAAAATATATATTAAAGATACTAACATTGCTGCAATAAATAAAAGTACTACTGTAAGGCCGGGCAGAGTTTTCCTGTGCATCAAAAATGACTGTTTTCTTTTTTTCAACAGCGCATACGATAACTACTCCTTTCAAGTTATCCCTGTGATGGGACAGGTCTTAGCCAGGGACTGGAAATCCTATCAGTACCTGGTGGAGAGCATACGACAGTTCCCGGACCAGGTAAACGATGTTTCCCACTTTTATTTATCATATGAAACCTCCAATGAGGGAGATCTTTAGGCGGCACGGTAGTCTAGTGGTAGGATGCAAGGCTCGTGACCGAAGGGTTGCGGGTTCGCATCACGACACGATACTGTGTTGTATCTTTGAGCAAGATACTTTACTCTGCTTGTTCCAGACTACTCAGCTGTAAATGAGTACGTGGTTGGGCAGTGCTAGAATTGTAGAATGCTAGCTGTGAGCGCCGAAATGGCAGCACCGGCTGTATGCTCCCCAGGGAGTTGAGAAAGATATTGGCTGGTTGCAAAGGCCCTATAATCACGGATAATAATTTGTGAACCGTTTTAAGACGACCTATGAACTAGTTTGTGATAAAGCGGTGTATAAGAACCTCAAATTATTATTATTTATTATTATCTCCCTTATTCCACATTTCCGATGAAGGAGAAAGTGTGTGAAACGTGACTGAAACTGCTTTGCTCAATCTATCTTTCCCTTTTTATGTATCAAAATAACTCTGAAAATCATTCGTTTGACTCGAACACACCTGTTATGATCATTACACACACCCTGCAGTAACTATAGGAGATCACTTGACCACAGGANAAAAAAGACGACTTTGTAACACTTCCAGCAAACGAACACAAAGGGCTATGTATGGTCTGGGCCTGTTTTGGCCCCCAAATGCTTCAAAATTCAAAACCTTTAAATGATCTTTCAAACAACTCTTTCTTTAATTTTGAATACTTCCCAAATACTATCATAAAATATTAATTTGTATTTTTAATTACTGTTGCCATGGTAACAAGTTCAGATTTGCATCAATTAGAAAAATTTCAATATTTAGTGAATATTGTCATATTTTGCATATTTTTTTCCTGGAAACTATAGAGTGCATGCTTGAACAAACTTAATATCAAAGGATAATGTGTAGGCACCTGTAATACATCTTTAGGAGAAATATTAAGTTTATTCAAGAGTGTGCTTTATGGTAGGTAGCTAAGAGAAAAACTAGGCGAAAACCAGTCAAAATAGAAACAGTCATTCGTAAGTTCTATTTTCAATTAAACTTGTTAATTGATTTACAATCAAGCAAATTTGGCTAAATTTACATGACTTTGAAGTAAAAGATCTTGTGTATAACACAAGTTTTCTCAGTCATCTCTCCTTCATTTTTGGTGAAACTGTGACTAAAGCAGAGACGACAATTGCTTGTAGGCCTGATCGTCTTTACTGTTGTGTTCCTATTACGGGTAAATTTTGGTACACTAAAATTTCCATTGTAGGTGTGGTAGAATAACACGATTAATTATTTTCCAGAGATTATTCATGTTGCATGTGGGTGAATAAGAAGTGAAACAAGATTAAGCAAAGGGATAACAAAGAATTGTATTACATTATATATTTCTTGTACTTGTGGTAGGGAAACACTATTTATTGTTTCCCAGAGATTATTCACGTTTCATGAGGGTGAAGAAGACGTGAAATAAGATGGAGAGATAACAAAGATTTGTGTTACACTTTATATGGTTACATTATATTTCTTGTGGAAGGAAACATGATTGATTGTTTCCCTGACATTAATCATGTTTCATGAGGGTGAAGTAAAAGTGAAACAAGATCAATCAAGGAGTAATTAACAAAGAATTATATTACACTATATATAATTACATTATATTTCTTGTACTTTTCGTAGGGAAACATGATTAATTGTTCCCCAGAGTTTTATCATGTTTCCTTAGGGTGAAGTAAAAGTGAAATTAGATCAATCAAGGGGTAACAAAGAATCATATTACACTATATATAATTACATTATATTTCTTGTACTTGTGGAAGGGAAACATGATTGATTGTTTCCCTGACATTAATCATGTTTCATGAGGGTGAAGTAGAAGTGAAACAAGATCAATCAAGGGGTAACAAAGAATTGTATTACACTCTAATAATTACATGGACAGTAATGTATAGTACTACATGCAATGAATGTATTATAAAAAAAAATAAAAAAAATGATAGAAAAAACATGTTGAATTTACCTGAATAAGACAATTGTCTGACAAGATGTCCTTATCTACATGTATGTTATTGCTATGCTATTGCATCATCCTATCAGTATTGACCTGTGGTCCTATTTATCATCATTCTGCTGATCCTATTTACTTTCTCTAAACCTGCTTTCCTTTATGCTTTAACTTTTTTTTCTGACACTGAATACTTCCCCTTTTCTGTCTCTCAATAAAAGTAATATAGATATATATAGAATACATATATTTCTAAGGGCCTTACAACTACTCAAATTGTGTGTTCGAACAATCCAGAATGTGTGTAAGCAGGGTTCGAACTATCACTTGACAGATTTTTTTTATTTTTATTATTCAAAACGTGTCTTCAAACTGTCCGCCTATTCGAACTGACCGGAGGTTTACCGTAGTTGACCATTACAACAGTACTGGTGTGGAGTGAGAGAAAGTTATACAGTATTATATGTACCTATATTATATAAAATGTCCTTTGAATAAATAAATAGGAGGCATGGTAGTCTAGTGGTAGGACGCGCATACGCCGGGCTAGTGACCGAAAGGTTGCCGGTTCGAGTCACGCCACAGCACGGTGTTGTATCGTTGAGCAAGATACTTTACTCTGCTTGTTCCAGTCTACTCAGCTGTAAATGAGTACGTGGTTGGGCAGTGCTAGAATTGTTGAATGCTAGCTATTAGCGCCGAAATGGCAGATCCGTCTGTATGCTCCCCAGGGAGTTGAGAAAGATATTGGCTGGTTGCAAAGGCCCTATTACCACAGATAATAATGTGTGAACCGATTTGAGACGACCTATGAACTAGGTTGTAATAAATCAGTAAATAAGAACCTCAAATTATTATCATTATAAAAAGTTATAAAAAAAAAATGATCCATATTCAGTGTTTTAGGACGTTGTGCCTTTAATGCTAAGCCAACATTCCTCTAGAAGGTATATGATTTGGGTGGTTGCTGGGATTCCGATATAACAGAGATATACATCACCAGGCACAATAATGACATTTCCCTTTATACACCTTTAAGCCCGTGGCTCTGTTCCCCTATGACACAACTTTATACTTACCTTACCCTAGATAACCTTCAGGCCACCGCTCTTATTAGCCTTGTCAACTTAATATCTTGTCTATACTTTTTTCTTAAAATTAAATTTCATGAGAGAGTTGGAAATTTACAAATATTTCTGTGTTTCTTTTCCACATTTTTATCATTTTGATTTTCTATTTATGTAATTGTAATTTATAATTTTGAGAAGTTATGAACATGCTTGTATTCAGTAATCATTAAGCTATTCAAGGATTGAATATCTTGGATTCGCTTGTTCAAAATCTGATCGGCTTAACGAATCTATGATACAAGTTTCCAAAAAAGTTCAATTGTGAGAAATATCTCAATGTTTTAAAGAAAAGTTTTATTAGTTTTGTTTTTCAATTGATTAATTCCATGTCCCTTAACATGTACTTTTAATTTTGAATTGCACTTTTTTTAAATATACAACATGAAATGTTTGTACTTATGATGCGTCAAGTTGACCAGACTTTGAAATTCTTGGAACAGGTGCGAGGCGTATATTTCACTCAAGTATTTGATAGCCATCTTGTGTGAGTGATACACCTTTTCTGTGTTGAAGTGCATGCAGGTCTAGAGATATGTACAGTGGCTGATATAAAGACCTAAATTGTTGCTGTTCTATCAAAATGTATAAACTTAATGGTTAACAATTTGTACAGTGGACCCTGTCTAAACCGAACACAACTGTTGTCTAGGGATATGTGCTGTGCCTAATACAGATTCTGAACCCTTTCACCACTGTAGACCATAATGGACTCATCCATATCAATGCATGGTAGAGTCTACTAAAGTTACATAGGGGTGAAAGGGTTAAGTTACTCTTGTTGTTCTATCAAAATGTATAAACTTAATGGTTAACAATTTGTACATTGGACCCTGTCTAAACCGGACACAACTCCAGGGATCACATTATTTGACCGTTATTAAGGACTGTTACTATATTACATCAGCATCAGAGCAGAATGGGATCCAACACCAGTTTACAGAGAATATATTTAACTAGTGTATAAAAGGCAGGGAACCAACGTTATAATAATATTGTAGAAATGTAAATTAATCACACATCAAGCAATATTGATAATTAACATAACATGAAAAAAGATACTTTTTAAATTTCTTTTATCAAAAAAAATCTAAAAATATTTTTTTATAGAAAAGTTGATGAGAGAATGTTTCTTTAGTATTGAATTGTATCAAAAAGATGTAGACATTCAGAAAATGTTACGGAACATACAATATTTTATCAGTGAAAACTAGAATAACAGATGCTTTGGCATACTCTTAACTCTTCAATGAAATTTTAAAAGTCACATTCCCTTAGAATTTTATCAAATCGAAAATAGTCACTCAGATATATTCCTTTAACACTTTGATAAAATTTAGTTTAGATATCGAGTGTAAAATGAAATGGCTTCGACCCAAGTGGAATGTGGTTGTTGTGATGGTCAATGTGCCTCTCCCTTTTGGCCCTACTCCAGTCATGTTTACAATGATATAAGTGGAATTTAATCTCCCGTTCTCCCTGCGTAAGAACCCTCTCAATCTTGGCAGAATGAAAATTAGCAGAGTGTAGGGGGTTAAAGGGCAATACAATTTGTAATTACTTCTAAGCTTTGATTTTTCTACTTGAAAGATTTCATCATTAAAGGCAATTATTCCTTTTTGAAAATGTCTTTTTCATTTTCTCTTGAAAGAAATACTTCTATACAAAAATAGTTTGTCTTTCTGGAAAGTAAATTTTTAACGTCTACAGACTACCAGTATAAAAATTTAGAATTTTTCTGATGTATATCTACAAATTTTCTGAAATTACCAAAAGTGCAAATTTGTATGAAAATTAGAAATTTTAGGTTTATGGCTATGAGTTATCTGCAATGATGCCATTCTAACCTGGA